TCCTACAGTGGAAGAAACAATGTGGGATTTAGTAATTGTCTGTGTAGTTAATTAATGAGCACCTGTAGCTTATATTTTTCACAGTAGTTACGACCGTTAATTTGGAGACTTAAATATATACCCATGTTTATGCTTTGCGATTATGAGTTTTGTATATCAGCCTTTCACTTATCGTGCGGTAATAATTCTGCCATAATTTTGCGGCAGTTACGATTAAGTTTAAAAGGTCCAATTGGAATTAAACGTTAGCACCTTGCTCTTGTTGATAAACAAGTTTCAGATACTAAGCAGAAATCTTGAAAACGATAACGTGTTAGTTTATAATTATATAACTAAAGCTAGCATGAAGTATCGAAGAATAGTCTTTGATGAAGTTTTATCTGTTACACGCTAATCGCAACTAATTAATTACATATATAATACAATTAATTAGTTACATACGTAATAATTAATTTCTTCAACTCTCTGTTCGTGTGGCGACGAAGGGATACAGATTCTCGGCAGCACCGTACTGTGAATGCAGGTGAATAATGCCGGGATGTACAGTACTCTCGATGTTCCTCCTCTCTGAAATGTTCTAAATTGTTGTCCCCGTCGTTCTTTTGGAGATTACTTTCATTTCATCGTTTAGAGTATGGCTATATTTGCACAGGAGACTTCTTATTCTCATCAAGATCTCATCGGATTAGTTAACTGTATTGTTCTTTACATATCGTCTACAAATTTTCTGCATCGAACGCTCTATATTCTAAAGTAGGAATACTGTCGCTTAACAGAGTGAATAGATCGAGACTGCTTGCAAATGCAGATCAAACCTAGACATAGAACCATATCGTTGCTTTGCGAACAACAGGAACATTGTAGTATTCTGACATGGCCAGACGAAAGGACGTACCCATGGTGTCAGGTGCGACAGCTGACTATCCAATGTAATAATTAGTACAAAGTGTAGTTCCTAATAAATAATGGAAAAAAGTCAGGGACTTGAACTTATAATTTAATTTGCTGACGTGACCCGGAAAGTAAATAAGTTTGCAAGTCTATTATGCATTTAAACATGCTATTGGTCTACAAGATTTCCTGTTTGCATAAATACAAATTAGAAATATCATTGTCCTGATACATTTCTCATGAAAATTAACATAGTCAACTTGACCTCAAGATCTTTAACAATAACACTAAATATTTCACAGAGTACAATAAAACTATTGGTCGTGATCGCATCTCTGAGCCTAACAAGGCGCTAAAGAGATGTTTGCTACCTTTAATGATCCAAAAAATGCATGCCACTGAAGCTATAACAAAATAGCTTAATCAGTATTATACACCAATGATGCACGTTTCGTTCCCAAAAACACTGCTTGGAATAGTGCTAGCGTGATATGTATGTCAAAAATGGTAAATTTATTTTTATATACCACCCCAACTGTTGACAAGTCCCAATTTGCTCTAAATCACTTTTCTCTTAGGTTGTTAGGGGGTCATTTAAGCAGACTCGAAATTACGATGTTTTAAGCAACTGCAGTGCTACGTAAAACCTATATACTTTTCCTTGATGAAGTAGTTTTTCGATGAGGCCAAAACATGCTTCCAGAGCTTGTACTTCAAATGTTATTCAAACATGGAATTTTTGGCTGAACGTTTGCAACTGTTTAGATCCTCTAAAGTTCATAGTTTATTGCCCTATTTTACCGTCTCCTTACCTAATTAAACGGAACTTCAAATTACCATAGGCAGTATAATCGGGAATCTAAGGTAAGAGAACAACTGGCATCAACATTTAATATACGAAGTATCTTGTGACTAATTTTATACAGTTAAACAAATAATAATTTTCTACGATTTTCGGTAATATGGTTAGGTG